AGCCATAATCGAACTAAACTGGAACATGTCAGTATGTGTAACAATGTGTCTGGCAGCGCTGTGTGCCATCTTCTAATCAATTAAATTGGTAGAGGGATATTTGTGTAATTAAGATATATTTAACATGTGCCAGTAATATCAGTAGTGACAAAATAATTACATACATACAGTATATGCTCGTAGCGTGAACTGGAAAATGTAATGTAAGTAACCTATAATTATGGATGATACATTGAAACTATCAATTAAAATAATTCGTCAAAAGAAATTCAATTTCAAAACATTATGGCTATAATTATAACATAAAAGGTCAGATCAAATATTTCAGTCAGATTAACATCAGTGCCAATGTAATAGTAATTACAAAAATGCAACATCACAGTAAATGCTGCTAGTCTAATGCAAGTCTTCGTGTTCAGTAATTTGGATATCCCGATAAATGCAGATCAAAGATATATTACGAAAAAGATATATTACGAAAGTTAAATGTAGAATATCTGAAAAAAGGCACATCATTTCAGGAAATTAATAATATACTACGCAGTTTATATGTGGCTATTTATTTAATACACGTCTTCTTCTTAACAACTGTATTGGATCAACATATTTTCTTCTTCATTGCATTCACCGGCTGTAAACTCCTGCGGAAGTTAAGGTTGTTCGTCCACTTCTGAACTTTGATCTTGACCTAGAACTATAGATCTGCGCATCCGTTTTACAGTTGTGGCTTTTTTTGTATGCAGAATTTTTGGTTCCTAGCCTCCCAGGCAGAGGCACTCCCACTTCGATGGAAACATTGACAATAGTCACTTTGTATGACAAGCTTGTTTTCGAAACAGTGAGTCCATTCTTCTCCCCGCCCACGCCCCGCCCCGCCCCCTGGGTGTGTAATAAGTACATCCTGGCATTCATGGCTTTCATCCACCAATGCTCGCGTGGTATACCTCAATATCTGCTTCCTTTGTGTCTCGGTGACAGCGTTCTTCTGGGTGCAATATCTTTTGGCTCAATATGTCTAGGGTGACCAGAGGTCTCGTTTCCAAGGGACAGTTCCCCCCCCCCCCCCACCCCTCTTTTTTGTGAGGGGTGCTCCGGCCAAACCGTTGGTACAAAACCATCGCCAATTGTCGTATTTTTTTTTTTTTTTTTACAAATCTAGGTGTCTTTCTTCTTTTGTCAATATCTGTTAATGCTGCTAGGCGTTGCAGTTCATCTGACGACCGGCAGCCGAGCCAGGGCGCGCTTGATATGACGTGATGTTATGCAGTCTCAAGGTGTCAGTTAATCCTTCAATCCATCTTCTTCTGGTCTTTCCCTGCCTCTTGATGTTTCGATTTTCAAGTTGTATTCTCTTGCTGCTGGCATCGGTGGTTTAATTCTCAGTAGATGGAAAAACCATTTAATTCTTTGTTTCTCAATAAATTTGTCGATGATTGTTGTTTCAACAGTTCTTGTGACCACGTTGTTTCTCACTCGATATCTTTTTTTTTTTTTTTCACAGCCATTCTCAAACATCTCATCTCACAGGTGGTTAGCTTTCTCTTGTGTTCTTTTGTCAATGTCCAGTCTGACATTGCTAACCTAAAGTCGGTATACATATTGTATTATTAATTTGTCTTTTTGTCTCCACTGGGATAGCAGGGTGTTTGTAAACTGGAGCAAGTTGCAACCTGACATTGTTGTTAGATTCTCGTTCCTAAGTGTGTAAAGATGCTTCCCAAGTATTTGAATTCGTGCACTTGTTTCAGACTTCGATCTAGGAATAAGTTCTAAAATATTAGTTTGTTCCTGACTTATAATAATAATAATATTATTAATAATTGTAAAAACAAATTTGGATATGAGGGGGGGGGGGGGGGGGGGAGTGTCAATTGACTAGCTCGTGTTGTCGTATTAAGATGTAGGTGTGTGTATAGATGTGTGTATGTATGCATGTATGTGTGTGTGTATGTATGTATGCATATGAGTGTAAATGTGTGGTTGTCGGCTTTATGTGGGTGTCTGTACATGTGATTGTATGTGTGTGTATGCATGCATGCATGTGTAGGTGTGTATGTACGGAATGAATGTGTGTGTGCATGTATGTCAATATGTGTATGTGTGTGTCTTTTCTGTTTGTGTATGTATGTAGATGGGTGTATGTATGTATTAGGTATGTCTGTATATGAATTTGCATGTATGAGATTGTAAGAGTACATATTCATGTGTGTGAGTGTGTAAGATTATGTACACATGATGTGTATGCCTTATTCTATAATGCATTTTTCTTTATAATATCCATAACATGCAATGGTACTCTGAAAAATTAGTGCTTAGAAGGGCTGAATGTCAGACGGGTCTGCGTGCCCAGTTTGTAACCCTTTGAAAATAAAGTTTGTTCGTTCGTTCGTTCGTTCGTCTTATTTTTAGCTACAAATATTATTGGGTTGCCCTGTTTTCTGAAGAAATTATGGTCAGCCCTATAGGTCCGAACTATTTCATGTTTTGTCTCTTGATGTAGTTTAACCCTGGGTTCCGCTCCAGCATGTTTCCTGAGATCGTCATTTCTATTGAGATGTGTTCTTGTTACTTTTATTTTGTTTGTTTGATATCATAGACATCTTATTTCTGTTGTTTAATGTTTATTTTCTTTCCGTTTATTGTAAATGTCCCGTATAGCGCTGGTTAACACAATGTCGGTATGAAAACTGTATTAACTGGTGTTTATTTTGCAGTAAACTGTTACATGTTTGCTCTGAAATATTGGTGACACCTGTCCAATGGTCAGCTGACTAATGGGACGTTTTTTGGAAGCTACACGTGTGTGTCTTTTTAAGAAGCATAATGTGAAAACAAAAATTACAGAAAAAAAAAATTGACGTGAAGAAATATATTACTACAGTTTTTCCATTGGAAAACAAACATCCTCATTCTTTGAGGAAGTCATGAGAAGGAGGCAGATATAATACATTGCGTACAACGTCACCACATAAGGCATAAAAATAGAGGTAGAGGCGGTAAAGTCAGATGTCCGTTGGCTTGAGAGCAACACAGTCCGCCATGTTTTTTTTAAAAACATATAACAAAGCCTGTTTCGGATAATCGAAACTGGCTTCCTGCACGAAGTGTATGTATGTAAGTTGTACCCCACCAGGACATCACATTAACGATAAATACCCTGTGACACAAAGTGCCACCATGCTGATGAGAATCAACCCTGGAGAGGTCCCGGAAACCCCCGTTAAGCCGTTCGACTATATTTCACGCCCGGCTATATTTAGAGCCCCTGGAAAAAGCCAGGGTTGGGCTTAAAAATAACTAAAAATTGCTTCCGACAAGGGGAATACGAGAATTAACTTAGTGGTCCTAGTGCGCGTAGTGCTGTCCTGCATAACTTCACAAGACTGGGTCAGGAGCATGTAATGAAGTTTCTGTCTAGATTTTTGAGATATGCCAGACAGTAAGCAGGTTGATAGATTAGCTGCTACCGAATCTCTGGGGGTCAGCTACTTTATGATAAAGCGGACGTGGTCAAGGTTCTGTGGGTTCAACTGGACAGTATAGTAGGAAAAAAAGGGGGAGGGGGTGGGGTGAGTAGGTTCTAGAAGATATTCATCAATGAGGTGCAGACTGGCAGACTTTTAATCAAGTTCAACTCGTACTATTAGCATGTGGACTTTTCGTTAGATGCTAAAGAAGGGGACGGAGCACTTGTGGGAATGTCCCGAGTGCAATGATGTCAGTTCTTGATTCATTTATTCATTCATTGAAATACAACTGAAACTGTGTGGAGAGTATAGGAAAGTATAAAATGATAACATGTGACAACAACTACATTAGAAGGGATTTCCGGTACACAGGGTAGATGCTGTAGACAGGCATGTTTCTCAGCTGTAGACAGGCGGGTTTCTCAGCTGTAGACAGGCATGTTTCTCAGCTGTAGACAGGCATGTTTCTCAGCTGTAGACAGGCATGTTTCTCAGCTGTAGACAGGCGGGTTTCTCAGCTGTAGACAGGCGGGTTTCTCAGCTGTAGACAGGCATGTTTCTCAGGTGTAGACAGGCGGGTTTCTCAGCTCCAAAGTGCTTGAATTTTGAATTAAGAGTCGACATCATAGCACTCGGTTCACTCACATTTTCAGCAGCAAACGAAGAGTTCCATATCCGATGGTACCAGTAACTGTCTGACTGTACATCCGTCTTGCTTTTCCTCTGAGTGTTGAGCGTCGGTCTGGTAACTCCCGTTAGCGCTATTCTCTTCCGACCTTAATGATCTTTTTGTGCCACCGCACTGTTCACTCGCTCCCAAAGGGACCTCACAACATCTAGCTTGTCATATATCAATTCACCACCTAGTGGTGTAGAACCTTCCAGTATATCTGCCTGCTTTTTTTCCAACACACCAGCATAACCGTTGAGAAAGTATCCAAAGGACGCAACTACCCGGTACCTCTGAAGCGATGTTTGCTACTATGCACGGAGCATGCCTGTCTCAACCTTTCTCAACATACTCTAAGTCAGTTACAATTACGACATGTATGCACAGCTGATTCTTAACACAGTGGAAGGCAACAGGGACTGCTTCCAACTCCATTCTCAAACTAGACGTTGCGATATCATATGCAAAGCTCTGTCGCAATAAAAAAAAAAAAACTAAATAATATTTTATTGTCGCCTTTATTGAATGCTGCAAAATAAACGAAAAATCCAGACACAGAATAACAAACTAGTCGCTCCATTTTAAGATAACAGGCTTAATTTCACATTCTAGTTTTGTGTTCTACACGAATACGCAAGTGCTAACGAAATGCTGATATTAGACATTTACAAAAGGGAAATTAAGCATCCTAAATAGTACAATCCGTGGTGACATCACTAGCCGTACTGCCTTAAATCCTCAGACTCAAAGCGTCCCGTCTATACACCTTGAAAAGTGGTATCTATAGACAGTAGTAACAGTAACAAAGAGGAAGATTATTATTACTGAAAAAAAATATCTAAATGATAATCATTTATGTAATGATGAATTCCACGACTAAAGCTACCAACCTGGCAAGGATCATGAATGAAAGCCAGTACAGTATTGTTTTATTATTCTTCTGTGTTGCCTGGACAATCTGTTCAATGTTAGGAATAGCATCAAATGTCATCAATATCAAAACTTTCGTCGCTATGGGACTCAATGACAGCGTTACAGTGTCTTTCCTGACCTTGTCTGTTTTCGACTTGGCATATGTTATTACGACATTTTGTTTCGCCGTCTCATCGGCATTTAGTTTAATTGAGCAAACATATCCGATATTATTTCCTATTGAACCGTACGGGGTCTACGTATATTTTGGTAACGTACTGGTGCTGATAAATGTCAACAACACATTAACCACAACGTTTCTAGCAGTTGCCCGTTGTATGTGTGTGGCCAAGCCGCTACACTTTAAACATACTTTTACTGTCAAAAGAACGGTAGTTATCATGACAGCATTTGCTATTTTCGCAGTAGCCATCTACACCCCGATTCTCGCCAATATGGGAATGGTCTATAGACTCGACGCAAAGACCAACACATCTCGACCGACACTTTGGCTATCACCAAATAGGGAGTCTACCAAAAATATTGTTTGGACAATAATACAGATTATTTTGCCCATTGCTACAGAGTTTATTGTTCTTGTCTGTATCGTAATTATGATCAACAGCCTCCGGGCCGCTTCAAAATTTAGACAAGCTTCACACATAACTGTATGTGCTAATGATTCCTCCTGTTTGAAAGGGAAAACCGGTTCTTCTAATGTTGCAAACGAGAAATTGTCTGGAAAAGAAATTCGAGTGGTTAAACAAGTTACTCTCATTTCATTAGTTTATATACTGTGTAACACGCCAAAGATCATGATTAGCATTGGAGGCCTGGTTGAACAAGAATTCAGGATTGGAAAAACCTACGGCTATTTATACCTTTGCCTTAATTGTTTTCGCATGCAATTTGAAATATTGAACGCTTCAATTAATACATTTGTTTACTATGCTTTTAATACGAAATTTAAAACCACATTGTGCTGGAAATAAAATAACATATTTACATTCAGCGGCGTCCGTGGCTTTGGCGTGGCGAGTCTGACTCGTAATCCGCGATCAAAACCCACTGCTGGCTGCCTGAATTTCTATCATGATATGGAGCATTGCAGGTCGACCCAGCATAAATTTTGTAGCAGGATGGCTGTCCTTGGGAAGTAAAGACGGCTTGTGTAATGCTGACCACATTACCCACCTAGTGCCGATGGTTTGTAAAAATATGAGCGCTCTTCCCATATGCCCGATGCGCCTAAAATCGTGAAAAGGGATCTTTACTTACTTTACTAATTTTTTTTTCAACATAATTATTTAACACAAGTTAATGTTCTCTTGGGCAAGGGATTTTTTACGTGCGCAACAATGCATACCGGGTTCCAGCCTCACTACCCAGAGACCAGGGTGAATTACTAGAAGTCCAAGTCCACGTGAAAAAATCCTAGCCCTTACGGAAATTTAAACCCGGAACCTCTAGAAATCGAGGCGGACACCATGCCTAGAGACCTCACAGAACCCCTTTTGAAACCCTAAGACCTTCGAAGTGGAGCATCGTCCAGATAAATTGACCCTAACTCCTATACTGAGTCACTAATGCTTTTTTGTTGGTTGTTGTTGTTGCTCAAGTGCTAAATAAAAATAAAAAAAAAGATAATAATACATTAAGAAGATTATAGAGGATAATAATGGCAAAAAAAAGAGTAAAATTATGTTTATGTAATATATGATATGTTTATACAAACAACTCTGACAAGTGTTAAAGCACCATAACCTGCCATATTGTCCTGACTCCAAAGACTGATTTTACGAGGAACTTAGTTCCACAGTCAGCGAAGTCCCGGACAAAGGAATCTTGTCCATTCTAGGAGCCTTTAATTCCAGGTGGGCGCTGAGCACAGCTCATAGCCATCACGTATTGGACACTTCGGAGTGGTTAAAATATATGAAAATGGAAAGCGGTGGCTTGAACTCTGCTGTCTTCAAAACCTTTGCGTCACAAACATCTATTTTGAAGTGAAACCCCAATACAAGGTCTCTTGGAGACACCCCAGACCAAAGCTCTGGCATCATCTTGACATCATTCTCACTAAACGTAGTTATCTTTACCTTGTTAAGGTTACACTCAGATATCACAGTGCATACTGTGATACAGAACACTCCCTTTACTGTGCGAGGGACTGGTTACTGGTTGTCGATCTGCCTGGTTTCGAAAAGTACCTAGAGAGTCAATCCGACAGACAGACCTGAGACTTGCACGGTCCTACACTCTGAGCAAAAACGCCAGCTCATCGTAATAGAGCTGATCGTTCTGAAAAGTCACTTATACAAGATCAAAAAGTATGATGATCAGGTTTCTGGTCTAAGGAGAGACGCAGCATACTCAGTTAAAATCTTCGCTGTTAAGATTGGCGAAAGAGGTCTTATCTTCTCTTTTACATACGATGTGCTAAAGCAGCTGGGGTTGCGAGGAAAGGAGCATAAACAGTCCTTGAAACAACAGGGCGAAACTGCTGAAAGGGCTTCTAGCTGGGCTTGGACGCAGCAGAACGTCGTGGTGGATGGGCCTCGATAGAGTGGTCTGAGCCTTTAGTGGAAAGGAACTTTTGGATCCCTAAAAAGCCAGAGTGTCTCTCTGCCAATTGCCAAAGCCCAACATCTGTCCATTGAACCAACAGTAAGCTTGTCCTCTCACATTACCTGTTGCAAAGTAACTTTTTCGTCTTGTCCCTGACCGATTAAACGCAGCAGGTGAGCAGGGGTCAGGTGTCATAAACCAGGCCCTCATGCCCTCTGAAATTGTCTAGGATATCAGGGCCGAAACAATTTGCGATGAGGGACCATCCTACTGGTGATCGATTGCTGCTGCTGCTACGATTGCTCCCCTGTGTTTTTCTCATTTTCATTTACCTAAACTGTCCGTCTATGGTAATATTTTACCTGACCAGAGCCAATATTTGGTTTCCTGAAGTAATCATTTCTTAGAAAAGGATAAGTTAAAGTAAAACTTTCTTCGTGCTGAAAAAGTTAAATCAAACCTACTCCCAGGTCATCTCAGTCTAAAACGGGCACCGGAAAGTATCTTTGGAAGTAAAGCGCTGTCAGTATAGTATTGACTGTTCCACTTAATGACAATATTTTATCTCTTCTAATATACTGTTCAAATTGTTTTACATTCTGCATCTTTTTAGTGCAGTAAGTGAAATTACTCAAATTTCCCACAAGAATATCTTAGAATTCCACCAATCGATTGACACCTTTTTTTGCATCTGGGTGACGATAGTTTTTAAGCATACGGCTTTTGCCGTTAGTATGGTGTGTGGCCTCCTCTTGCGCTGATTAGTGACTGGCATCCCCTGGGCATGGAATCGATCAAATGTCTAACATGGACCTTTTGAATGGCTGCCCACTCTTCCTGGAGTGTCTGGAACAGATCACGACCATTGGCTGGAGCAACGTTTCGGCGACAAACACGTCTTTGCAGCTCATCCAACAGGTGCTCAATCCGACTCATGTCTGCAGACAGGTATGGCCAGGAAAGGGTTTGAATGTTATTGACATCCAGGAACTGCATCGTCACCGTGCAGAATCGGGTCTGGCGTTGTCCTTTTAAGAAAGATATCTGTTGGCATCCCAAAATCGAAGGACATGTGGTCGAATAATTTCATGGACGTATTGTTGTGCATTCAAGCTTACTTCAATATGCACAAATTGACTCCTTCCTCTGTAACTAATCATTCCCCACACCATTACACCTCCGCCACCTTGCAGCAGAGCTTCATCAACACAACTGTGGGCTAAACATTTATTTTATATACGGTAGATCCGACGCCGTCTATCATGACGCTGCAACAAAAATAAAGATTTGTCACTGAGCCAGACACGTCTCCACTAATTGTCACTTGCCCAGGAACGATGTTGGTTGGCCCAAAGAAGGCGATTTTGGCGGTGGCAACTCGTAAGGACAGGTCCTCGGTGTGGTCGTCAAGCCAAAAGTTCAACATCATGCAGATTGTTCTAAACAATTTGATCAGACCCATGACGTAATGTAGGCAATGTCTGTGCAGTTGAAGAAGCTGTTGTAAACCTGTCTCTGAGGTGACGAAGCCGAATAAAGTAATTCTCTGTACATGTTGTCACTCTGGGTCATCCACTGGGATGTCGGTCAAGTGAACCAGTGGCTCAGAAGTACTGCCAAAGTCGACTGATAGTACACTGATGCACGTTTAGATGCATGGCAACCTGACTTTGACTTGCTACCGTCTGCAGTTAGTCAATAGCAATATTGTTAAATTTATCAATAGAGGCGCCATTCATGACTGCTTGAAAATGAACTGATGGTTTTGGTGTAGAGTTATCCTTTTATAGGGTTTCAGTTCCGTAGGCTGTGAAAAATGTTCACCGCAAATTGTGTTGCTTTCTCGTGCACGCATCGTGAGCTATGCTCACAAATATGGTCCTAAACACATCTGACCACTGCGTTGTAAATATTTTTAAAAAACCACACAATTTACACCCACATGTCCACTGGACACGGTAAACAACATTTGAGCCTGCTTTTCACGTACCTGAGCACGATATTTTTAAAATAAACTAATAAAAAAAAACGCGTCATCAGATAATTTTGCGGTTTTTTTTTAGAACAGTGTTTTATTCATAATTTTTTAAGTGAGAGATAAAAAGAAATGTGGTGAAAGAAAAAAACTGACATCAGTAGGGTATACACTAGAAAGATCTCAGTTTTGTCGATACTATAGCAGTACTTGAAAAGAGCAACAAGAGCATGCAAATAAAACATGATTTAGCAAATATATCAACAAAAGTTAGACTACACATGCATTATGAAAAGAAATTTATTGAAGATGTCAGCAACAGATCAAGCAGTCTTAACACTAGAGACGAAAATAATTAAAGTAGCGTATCAGTTTACATACGTAGATAGTAAATTTCATGGAGACATTTATTTTATGTAACATGTTCTTTGCAATCGGTGGCACTTCACATGTCAAAACATGTCAGTTTCCGAGACAAGATGGTGTTTACTAGCCAGTCTTGCGTGACTGTAACATCGTTAAGGATATCGGTATTTCTTTTCTCTCGCTTCATTGTATTCTGAGAATCTTTCTATAGTATTCCAACTGAAAATTCCCATATTGGGCTATTGGGTATGACATAGGTACAAGAGGATAGGGAATCACTAAACAGGCACTGAAATGAGTAGCGATGGGATTCTAGAAACGAGTGCGTCCAAGGCAAACCGTAGAAGAATGTTGAAAAAGTGTCAATTATCTTGGGGTAATTTCTATCCATGACAGCAAAATAATTGCACGGATATAACATAATAAGAAAAAAAAGGGGGTGGGGGGGGGGGGGGGGGGGGTGGCAGACTGTCAGCCCTGTGATACATAAAATGGCATAACAGAATGATGATGAACGTTGAAATGTACTAAAAAGATGAGTCCAAAAGCTTAAGATTACTCATGACAGATACGCCATTGACGCATCAGCTTATGTTGCTCAACCCCTATTTCTTTTTAAAAAAAAATAACCCCCACTTTATGGGTGGCATAAACAAAATAACCTCAGTTTGAGCTGTCAGCCTGTTTTATTTTCTGTCGGAATTATTTTTTCTATGTCCCAGTCCAGTCTGAAATGCTGCTTTCCAGGTACAAGAAATGTGTTACTTAGTCAATGTTTTCCGACTTATTGTAATGATGCTCTCAAGCATTGTTCTTCTTATGGAAAAGATTTGAGTCTTTTCAGTCTTAATAGTTTTATTGTAAATCTGACAAATTATGTTGAAGACAGCTGATAGAATGCTAAAGTATTAATTATTATTATAATACCAAAACTCAGAAAGATCTATTTGCGATAAAAGAAATGACATCTGAGAACTTTGAATAACAGCTTCTTGTATTGTTATATTAGTGACAGTTTGCTCCATCATTTAGTCATCACAACACTCAGCGGAACAGAAGCACCTTGTATGCAGAGTACAATGG